GAGGGTCTTAAACATTATTTGTAAAATTACAATGTGTGGGGGCCAGCAGGTGGCAGGGTGGGTAAGACACTGGATTCCCACATGGCCGACCACAGTTTGAGTCCCAGACCCAGCAGTTTGAAAATCACAGCAGACGCGTGTGCAGACGTGCGTGCAGATGTGCCTGCAATCCCAAAAGGAGTTGCAGAAGGGATTGCAGCATGCCATCCCCACAGGGGGTGATTTGTCACTTTCCCTCTGTCTGTCTCTCTCTGGTGAACACCTGCCCTATGGCAAAAAAAAAAAAAAGAAAAAAGAGAAAATGACGATGCGTGTTTGTTGGAGACGGACAGTCTGCGTTGCCTCCTAGCACCAGTAGAGGTTCCTTCTACTCCCGAACCCCTCACTGCCTGAGTCCGAGCCACACATCCGACTCTATTCAAAAGGCCTTCCTTACCCAGGGCTTCAAAACCGTAATGGCGTCAATGATGTTCCGTCTCTTTTTTTTTTTTTGGAGAGGTTTTCACTGTAGGGCGCGTGCGCTCGCCAGACAGACAGAGAGAGACAGAGAAACAGAAAGCGAGAAATCACCCCCCGGGGGGGATGGCCCCGCCGCAATCCCTTTGCCTCCATTCTCCTCTCGGGATCTTGGGCACGCACGCACACGCGCCCGGCGTGAGTTTAAGCCACCGGGTCCGGGACTCAAACTGCGGTCAACTGCACGGGAGTCCAGCGACGTAGCCATTATGCTAAGGGCTGGTCCTGGTGTTCAATCTTTTAAAAGAGACACAAATGTAGATGTCAAAATAAATACAGTGCTGTTAAGCCTTTTTACTCACTCAGTGGAGGGGAATATTTATTGACCATAGATCGATTGTTCGCATAAATGGGAATTTTACAGTGAACCAGGCAGAAAATGAACGGAGGAAAGCATTAATTTTTATTACCAAGCTGCTGTTTGCTAATATCGATAGAAAACCTTCCTTAGCTGACCTCGCTAAAACAAACAAGGGAACTAAATACCCGTGTACCCAGGACTGGCAGGTGGCGTGGTGGTTAAGGTGCCAGACCCCCACATGGCTGACTGTGGTTCAAGTTCTGGACCTGGCAGCTTGCTTTCTCACTTTCCCTTTCTCTCTCTCTCTCCAGCCAAAAATTAAAAATAATAATAGAAATTAAAATCAACAATTCTAAAAAAAAATACTACAAAACTTTTTAAAAATACCCACATACCCTCATGGATGCATCATTTTTAACAGCTGTGTAATACTCCACTGTGTGGTCAGTATAATTCTAGCCAGGGCACCTCTGTGGTCTCCCAGATCCCAGAAAAGCAAAAATAGCGTGAAACAAGCATGTGGGGTGTCAGAGAGCTCCGTGGCCCCGGGCACCAAGGAGAAGGCAGTGGTTTGCATGTCTGGCCCACAGCTTGCTTTATAGATAAAGTTTCATTGGCACACAGACACACACGTGTACTTCCAGATCCTCCGTGGCTCTCTGTGCTGATAGCAGAGCTGAGCCGTCGCAGCAGAGACGATCCCTGATGCCGGAATACTCACTCCCTGGCCTCTTACCAGGAAAGCCGGCTGGGCTCGGCCGCAGGGATGTGTAGACGACGCCCCCAGAGCCGTGTGACATTGTCCCATCACCAGCGCGGGAACGGGGCACACATGGGTCTGCCTAGGAGCGCACACGCAGGTGCTGGGACACGCCAGCATACGCTCCCCGCCTGGGGGCACCCACCCGGGAGATTCTGGAGACGGAGAAACAACACGCAGCCTCCCAGGCTGAGCCCCGAGCCCGGAGCGAGTTCAGAGGCGACAGCGAGGGGGCGTCCCGTGCGTGGAAGGCTGGGGTCGGGGACCTGCTCTGACGGCCTTCTCTGCCTTTCAGGTACGAGCAGGAGAGACTGCGGGCCCGGAGAGAGAGGTAGGGCAGAGGGGCGTCTGTCGGGGGTGGCCCGGGGGGGTCCACCGATGTCCTCCACCCTTCTCAGACCCTGGCCTTCTAGTGAGAGCATAGAAGTCAGGCCCAGGTTCAAATCCCAGTGACTCCAGGTGGCCTAGCGTGCGACATTAGCAAGTGAGAAGGTTCTCAGCCAGGCCAGCCCTGTAGCCTGGTGGTTAGAGGAGCAGGCCCCACATCGCTGACGGCAGTTCGAGTCCCAGCCCCGGCAGCTTGAAGAACACCGGGTGCACGTATGTGTGCCCCAAACCCCAACCGGATGGGGAGGTGGAGAAGGGATTGCAGCGTGACCACACCCCACTGGGCTGCTTCCCTCTCTCCCTCCCTGCTTCTCTCTGGCGAGGCCACACCCCATCCGGCAACTTAAAAAAAGTGTTCATGGGGCCAGCAGGGGGCATGGTTGTTAAGGCACTGGACTCCCACATGGCTGACTGTGGTTCGAGTCCTGGGCCTAGTCGCTTTCCCTTTCTCTCTCTGGTCAAAATTTAAAAATAAGTAAATGAAAATTAATTTTTTTGAGAGAGATTTTTGCTATAGAGTGTGTGCGCTCGCTGGAGAGACAGAAAGCGAGAAATCACCCCCAGGAAGGATGGCCACACCGCGATCCTTCTCCATTCTCCTCTCAGGATTGTGGGCGTGCATGCACACGCGCCTCCGCATGGTTTTCAAGCCACCAGGTCCGGGACTTGAACTGTCAGCCATGTGGGATCCAGCTGGCCTGGCCCTGGGCTCTGAGACCATCTCCCAGGTCCCTGGACACTCCCCTGAGAGCTGGCAGGGCGAGGGCCCTTCCAGCACCCACAGGAGGGCACTGCCCGGGCCGCGTGCTGGCCACGAGGAGCTGGCTTTCCCCGGTGCAGGCGAGGCCAGCCTGGAGGAGGAGGACCCTGGGACAGGGAGGCAGCGGGTGGATGAGGTACACGTGACGTCACGGACGCAGAAAACTGGAGGGAGCGCAGACAGGACTCGAACTCGGTCACAACGGGCCTCTCCCCACCACGCTCCTCTCGCCCCACCCCTCCATTTCTGTCTTCCTCTGCGTTTTTGAGTGTTTGAACTGGGATTGAGTACTTAGAACGAAATCTACCCTCGCGACCCCGGGTCGGTGCCCAGCTCCGGCCCTGAGCACCCCCACGGCTGTGCACCGTCCCGGCCGTCCCACTCCAGGACTCCCTCTTCTGCTCTGTCCCCGTGAGCCATCACTTCCGGCCCCGGCGGCCCCGGCGGCCCCGTTCTACGTCCTGCCTCTGTGGCTGGGCCTGCTCCAGGGCCTTCTGTCCGTGGGTCGCATAGGCTGTGTCCTCAGTGTTGGGCCTCCCTGAGCCTCAGGTCCACTCACCCAGAGCCAGTGTCAGAACACGGTTCCTTTTCATGGCTGCGTACTATTCCCTGAGTGGGGGCCGTGCGTGTGCACCCATTCGCCATCATCCGGGTCGTCTCTAGCTTTGTGCTGCTGGGACCTCTGTGACCCAAACCCTCTGGTCCTGCTGTCAGTCCTGCTGCGCACACACCCGGGGGCAGGGGCGGGGCGGG